TTATTTTGCAACTACTTTATAAAAGATATTGATGCAAATAACAAAAAAACTTCTATATTAAGGCTCTGAAGTCAAATAAATTGTTGAATAATATTATGCAAAAAGAAGTTGTCATGGAGACTTAAAATTTAATTTTATAAAACTTCAATTAAGCATTATTGTAAGGATTTAAGCATCAAGCTGTAAAAAAACATCGATATCTAGATTTAGTGTAATAGAAATGATATTACGGAGATGGATGCAGTGCCAAACGATGAAAAATAAATTGAGGAATGATTATATTAGAGTGGAGGTTTAGATAACATCTATTGGACATTAATAATTGAAAATGGAATAAAATGGTTTTTGACATATCTAATAAAAGGTAAAAAAATGCAATGATTAAATAAGTACATAAAATTAGTATCAAATGATTTAACAAGGAGAAAGGGTAGACATAAGATATTATGGATATAAATTGTTCAAAATGATTTGTGAAGAATAGATTTAACACCTCAAACAATATTTAATAAGATCAAATGAAAATTGATAAATCATAAAGCCGACAACAAATAGTCGAGAAAAAACAAATAATTATGGTGCCAGTGATATGCTTATAAGAGATTCAAATTGCAATGCTTGCAAGCAATAGTAACAGAAAACATAATCTTAAAAGATGAGCTAGGTCAATCAAAGAAAATTGAGAAACTTAGAAAATTTTAGTGATACAGGACATCAGATTATAAAACAAATATTTTGAAGATGGTGGGCAATTTTATGAGTATGGAAATAATAAGATGACACTTGAGTGGCTCAAATACATCTATTGAAATATGCTAATGAGAAAGCTAAAAAAAATGTGGAGCTTCCTCTAAAATACAGGAAAATTTTAAATTTTAAAATCAACATAATCTCAATTATTTGGAGATGATAATATAAATATTCGTTCTCCATTCATTTTTGATGAGTGTTACATTAGAAGATACCTCTATTTTGTACATATTACTTATTGCACCCTCTAGTAATTTTATTTAGTTATATAACACTTTTTCATTCTTAATCCTTTCAATAATTTTATCAAACCATCTTATTGATACATCCTTGACCCTCCACTACGCATTCTAAAACCACTAAATAATATTTTCTACATTCTGGTCTTTTTTAAGAGAATTAGAACTTCTTACCTCTGCTTTAGAGCACAAAAATATAAACTCAACCTATGGGTTGGTGATTTCTACCACCATAAGTTTGATATTTACTACCGCTATCATCAATCCAATAAAATCATTTCACGGTCCATAATCTCTAGTTTTGAAATAAATCTATCTTAACATTCTCATTTTTGCAATACTGAACAAAGCTCCCATCAACTTCATATTGCTCGACGCTAAGAACTAGAAAGAATAATTGTTTCAATTGCAATATATGGATTCCTTTGAGTTTATATGATATTTCTTATCATAGTACTCCCAGGGCACTTCTATATTTTAACCGCCTAACATTAATTCCAAAAATACAGACATCATAAATATCTCCACTCTTTATATAATAAATCTAAGATTCTTAAATTTATCACAACATTCAATATTGAATCCACTTCAAATTCACTAAAATTGCATATCAAATAGTAAATGTTTATGTTAGTAAAGAAAGCACTTAGGTTCTACAAGTTTTCCCATTAATAGTTATTCCAGAAGATGAATCATATAGGAATACCATTTATCTACAAATATGATACACTAAAATACCAAATATTAAATATTTCATTAAGCATCTCCATGATCACAAAAAATATAAAAACCTAAAGGCGGTCTTTGATATAATCATATTATCCTTCAAATCTCTTCGAGAAATAATCAGCAACTAATATTAGTGATTGCGCCATGAAACACATTTAATAATTTTAACATATCAAAAAAAATTTCAATAATATCCACTAAGTTCTCATATATTGAGTTATATACTTCACTGAGATCAAGGAAATCAAGTTAAATTTTCTCACTAATTGTAGTAGCAAAACAATCACCTCCATAAAAGGCCTTTCGGCATAACAATAAATTAATTATTTGATGCTGAAATGTTTTTTCTAAGCTTACATTCGGATACCCAATATCTTAGTTTCCTTTTATAATTTGTTAAGTATTACTACCATTTTATGCATCTCCTAAATTACTAAATATTAATAATATAGTGTTTCTTCTCCAATCATTTAGCGTCATAAAAACATTTAAGAGGTCATAAAAAGCATCATCACCCCAACTCCAGCATTCCATGAAACTCTTAAAATCTCAATAGTCCTGCCATTAGGACCTATTACTTTATCTCATGCATCTTCTTCAAAGTTAACTCAAATTCATTTTTTTAATCAAATAAACCTCATGACTCCATCTATTTCACTCTTCTAAAAGATCACCTCCTCAAGAAGTCCATTGAATATTATGAAAATAGCACCTCCACCTTTAATTGATGTATTCATCCTTAATTAAAAATATTATCATCGTTACTCTTCATAAATTTATCATTAGCATAATCTCTAAATATACAATTCCTTATCAAGGTTATATTATTTTTTCTTCTTCCCCGGTACTTTGCCTACTATATAAACAAGCAAGAGCCAAAACTTAGGTTGGCGATTATCTTTTTCTTTTTTTTTTAGGAAAAATTTTCTACCTCTTAGCCAATGTATCTCGAAAGTATTTTGTTTATCATTCTTTATTTTTCATGTCATTGCTTCACCAAGTAACCTTACTCATGTATGGCATATTTCTAGACTATCCAAAGAACTAACAATTCTATCCCACATCAAATTTGGGACCACTTTAAAGTTCCAATTGGTTTCTCTTTACAGTCTATATAAAAGACAGCTAATTCTCACCGCTGAATTTTAACTATATAATCTCTGGATAAATAAATCATTTGAATGGTTTCTTTGTATATTAAGATATACAGTCATGAGTACTAATCCATGTTGTATGGTCAATTTTTTTCTAGAAATCGCCTTAGATCTTGTAAAAGATTTTTCTTCCTTTCTAAGTAAATTTGTATATTCGTGATTTGATAACTTCGCCTTTGATCATAACTGTGTGATATTCTCATCTCTTAGAAAATGTGTTCACTACTTATACCCACTCATAACTAAAAAATAAAAATAAAAAAACTTCTATTATCACATTAATTATTTCCATTATGTAGCCACTATGAATACTATTGAAAACCAAATTACCATGAACGACATGTTCACTTAAATCACCACATTGTGATGCTATCTTCATCCTACATACAATGCACTAGACTAGTAGTCCATACATTGCTTCTCAAAAATTAACTTTTAATACTACTAGACAATACATTACTTACCAATAATTAACTTTTAAAACTATCTTCTAATCCGGCATGAAAAACAAAAGAAAATGATGATTAGAGCAATTATGTTATATGAATCAAATTGCTTTCCGACAAAGAATTCTACGATAAACAAAGTGAGAGTACCACCCTGGTAAGAATGTTAAGATGGATGAGTGATAAAATTTGAAAAATTGTGCGAAACGGCTAAAAATAAAAAAAAAGTGCAGTAGAATTTATTGAAAATAAAATTATAAAAAATATATCGATTTGACCACCTACATATCATTAGAAATGTGCACAATAATGTAAAATAAAATTATCTGAAAGGAAAAATTAGACTAAAAACAAGCAGATCGGAGATAACATGTTTAGAAGTTGTGCCCCAAATTTTATGTAAATTGAAGCTGGTGTAACGTGCATCAATACTAAAATTAATGGAGAATGATACTAAGGCCGGAATTAGAATTTAGATGACTCTTGATGATAATTACCTTCATCATACCAACTTGTTAGTTTCTAAAATTTCACTTATATTCCTTCGTAGAATCGATAGACAAGTACCTCAACAAATGATTGGTGGTCTAATCGTCACTCAACCAAGATGACATAGATAATTGGGTTAAAATGAGCTTCAGGCGCAATAAAACATAAATGCATCTTCCAACAGAGAAATTGAGTTTAGAAACATCTTTAAATGGTGTTTTACATTAAAATGTGAATAATCTAATGAGAAGGTTGACTAAAGCAATAAGAGGTTGTTGCTTGAATTATATATTCATGAGTCATGAGTATAAAGAAAGTCAAATAAGAAGTAAAGAGCTTACCAAAAATATTTTTTTCTAGATAACAAATATTGTTTTTCCCTCCCACCTCCCTCTTTCAACTTACATTTTATAAGGTTAACAAACCAATAACAAAATCATGCACAACATTCATCATCATTAGACTTACCCCAACTATTTGGTTTGGGTCATTTTTATGAATCCTTATTGTTAGTTCATTCTTCCTAAGAATCTTTGTTTTATGAATCCTCATGCACGATAATGCCTAAGATGTTAAACATATTCTTCATGAAGCTTGTTGAGCTACTTTAACTCGTGTTAACTTAGTTCCATCCATTCTCTTTCCTGGTGATTTGATAGTTACTTTACTATCACCTTTGGTGTGCAATGCCAAACAAGTAAAATTTATTTTCAACTATCTTATCTCAATAGATGCCACTTCAAATGTTCGCCTAATATAATTGTTCGTTAATTATCTCTCTCTGTTTTTCCATGCATTCTTTGTAGCAGTATTCTATAAGTCATGCTCAACTTAGCTTCGAACCACTTTTTATTCCCCATCACTAACATTCATATAGCCTGTCAGCCTAATTGCAATTATATAAAATTTATCTTCAAGTCCCTGTGATATCCTCTGATTACATAATACTCATGTGTTATTTCTTTATCAGTTTAACCACGCAATTTCACTCAAGAGGCAATATTCTCATTTATATCTGCAATATTTTGTATAGTTGATTCACAGTACTTTAACCTGTCACGACTAGGTATCACTTCACCTTCTAATAAAATCATTGGATAATTATTAATAAGATTAAATAATTAACAAATAAAAAAAATTGCACTTGTCTTTAAAATATAGATCTAAGATACAGAGAGATGCGGGATGCAAACCTGTAATCCCCGTGGCTAGCAAACCAAGGTACTTGGTGATAGGAAAGAGATGAGTGATGCTGGTTTGGTCCAACAATTTATCCTGAATAATGTTTTCCCCATTGATCAGGCATCAAAGTAAATAGTTCGCGTTTGGATTTGCGCATCAAGAAAAAACTTGGTCAGAGAAGATGCCTACCGGAACCTTCTTCTGTGTAACCACGCAGATTGAATCCCTCCCTCTCACCCCGATGGACGTGACGCCAGCAGCCTTGACCGCTTTGAACGCATACTCTGTTCCAACAGAAGAAATCATCGATGAATTACACGCAAATGATGAATTCTAAGCCCACGGAGTTGTAGAATAACAGGGTAAACAATCCTTGGAGGCCGATCAAAATAAAAAGGAATTTGAAGAAGACTGAAATGGATTACGTCGGAGAAATAGAATGAAGGCTTACCGACTTGGTAGAGGCGGCCCTCAGGGGAGAAGATGGTGATGTGGCGATCGTATCCGGCACCAGTTCCACGGCTCATTGTGCTAATATTGTAGTGACGGACTTCCAAATGTACTTAGGGTTCTCGCACGAAGCCGGCGGAGTGTGATCGGAAGCGGTGCTTGCCTGCGCTGCAAGAAAATATTATTGCTGTTTAAAAATCAAGCACTCTCTTTAATCCATTTTTCATATTCTCATTCAAATAACATAATTAATGATTAAGGCCCATTTGGGGCAGGCGGCATTTTGTTTGGAAAACACATTTCAACAATTTATCCAAAAACACGGTTGGATTTTACATTAAACGCACGTCGCGGGTCTAACCCCGTCTATAGCGTTTCAAAATAAGTTGTTTATGTGGATAAGCACAAACTTACTCAAACACACCCTAAACTCCAAACCATTTTTTTTATCACTTTCCCAATGTTTTGATATAACATTAATAAATGCATATATTCGGTGATTCAAAAAATCACATCGTTGAATGATTTGTAAATAGTAATATTTCGAGTGCTCTATATATATGTAAGACTCGCATGGGATCTTGTTTGCTCAAAAAAGGTTATTTGTAAAATTGATAATATATTTTATTTTAACTAATTTTATTTAATGTAAATTAAATATATACTTTTAAAAATTTATGAAAAATAGGTGATTGGCGGGCGATACGTTCAGCAATAGTGGGTGAGTGCATGTGGCATTGGTTGTTAGCAAATGATTGGTGGATGGTGGGCGGCAATTGGTGGTGGAGGGCAGTGGAGGGGTGATGGAAGGCAGCTTGCAACGGAGGAGTCGTGACACTGGTGGTGGAAGATGATTATGGCTGACTACAATTGGTGATCGACCAACGGTGGGTGCAAGGAGATGTGGGCTTTGGCATTGTCAGCGGTGGGTGCAAGGGGATGTGGGCTTTGACATTGTCAGTGGTGGGTGCAAGGGGATGTAGGCTTTGACATTGTTGAGCAAAACTTTAATTGAGTTGTAATTAGTGGATAATGGTAGCACGACAATGATTGATAGTTAAAAAATGGAATGTGAAGGTTAGGTAGGTTGGTTAGACAATGACAACTGAAAGACAATATTGGTTACCGATAATCATCAAAATTAAATGTTAAAAATGACTCTAAAATTCCTCAAATCTCCAAATTCATTTAAAACATAAGTACAAACTCTCATCATATGGAATTATTTATAATTTTCTAGAATGTTGTTTATATTATTTTGATTAAAATTTCAAAATACTTCATTGAATAATCCTTATTAATTCCTTTGATCACTGCTTATTTTTTCAATATCGATGTGCTTTAATGATTTTGAAGTTGGGTAATCTTTGACTTGCTGGATCTCTCCTTCCAAGGCACTTCATTTTACTATCATGATGTTAGATTCAAGTTTTGTTTAAATTTTTCATTATTGTTCAAAAGTTTACAACTATATTTTTATTATTTTGTTTGTTTTGGCATTATATATAGTTTAATATACACCTTTTAATTACTTTTAATAGAAAACATTGAATGTTATTTAATTTAATTATGGAAGTTCACTATTTTTAAATTGCACTGGAATATGTGTTTCATTGAAAGATTTTTTGTAATATATTATCGACCTCAATTTTATGAGGTTGGCAGGTATCTCTTTAGCCCTTTTCCTAACTCTTAAAATTCACTCTTATACCTAAAACTCCATCTTGGTGAGCTCTTCGTATATATTTTTGTGAATACTTAATCCATATCAAACTCATCTTCCATATGATCCAAATAAATTTAAATTAAACTCTAGTTCATTGAATTTAGTTAGGAGGTCAATAAGTTCATGTTAAGATCAATTAAGTAAATCTAAATTAGGTCTATTTATGCCTCAATCAAATCTTAAGTAACCCTTTGGGGACTTTTGGGCATAATGAGCCCGAATTGAATATAATGCCTTATGAGCCATTATGGTAGACATACATTTTATTTTAGCTTCTTCTTTGAGCTAAAGAGAGTTGGGCAACTCCCTTTGATCATCAAGTAAACCAGTGGTGATCTTGTGATGCCCACCAATATCAAAAATCTCATTTTATTACTATTTTGACTCCAAATGATCCTGACATGTGCAAAGATTTCTAAGGACAATTCTCTTAGTCAACTCTAAAGTTTCTAGCCCCATGATCAACCTAATTTGATCAAGTGACCAATTAAGAACCCAACAAATCAATTCTTATCAAATTAATTGTAGTTATTTTCTAAAATGATTCTAAATGAAATTAATGAGCCTTTAATGAACTTTGGATTATGATTCTCATATAAGGGTGCTTAGTCAAACCTCTTTGACCATGACTGCGAAGCTCGATCTAAGTCATCCAGGTCAAATCGAAAATTTCTATGAATATATGTGTGTCAATTGATCCCAAGTGATTATAGGAATAACAATAGCTCTCCTTGGTGCTCTTAAACCTAATCCAAACTCTAACTAAGTTAATTTGAACCCTTGAGGAATTATGAACCATTGAGGTTATATGATTTCAAATACACTCAAATCAAGCATATACCTAATTCAACTTGAGGGTGAACCCCTCATTGATATTCCCACCAATGAATCATTCCATGCTCGTTGGACTTTGATATAGTCTAATATAGACCTTAAATCCATTATTAGTTTGTTTAGATTATGATAAGTTGAATCAAACCAAACCCAGCTAAATTTGAATAGACACTCTTTAGGTTGCACACATACATAGTGAGACCAATTTATTAATCTTTGGACACCATTCAAGCCCGATTGGGTCTTGAGACAATATTGTCAAATTAAGATAAACCAAATGTACCTCTAATATAGTCAAACTTAGTTAGGCGTGCTCTAAAGACAATCTAATTAATCAAACCCAATCACGTGATCATAAATCTCAATTGAGTCTATTGGGTCTTGACCCAATATTAACCAAATTAGGATAACCCCCGCTTCGACTCTAAGAAAGCTCCCTAGTTAGCCCATGTCAACTGAGCTAACCCGAGTGCAAAAAAATTGTTAACTCAACTATTTAAAATTAAAATTAGCGAAACTAAACCAAAAACATGGATTGACACCGCCAATTCTAGCTTCACAGAGCTTGGTTGTTGAGGGGCATGGATTAGCACCATTATTCTTAGCCTTCCATACTTTGGCAAGACAAAGCCAAGGCAAAGTCAAAAGTCACCTTGGCTTAATAAAAATGACATAATCCCACCACCACACCCTCACCTATATTATTATCTCAAGCCTCATAATGGATTATATTATAGCTCAAGACCATCTAAGCTTTTCATTCCCATTCATCGAAGGGATTGGTGAGTTTTTGTAACTCAAATGCATTGAAGTTAATAGTGAATAAGAGATTTTCTGTTAGGAGATTTTGTTTTATAATTCTTAACTTTATTGCATCCAAAATATTCTCATAGCTCGAGTGATTAAGCATTCATCATTGTCCTTTCTAAGGCTCTGTAAATCCATCATACACCGAACTCCTGTGAAAAACATTTGCTTTTTTAGATTTTAGATGATTAATAATGATGCAAAGGAGGAGTAGTTCAATAAAGTTATATATCATCTAAACAAAGCTTATTTATTCTATCGGACATTAGTTTTAATGATGGTAATTCTTTAAAATCATAGATGAGAGTTAAGATCCCATGCTTAGTTTTATGAAATTAAACCACTGCTAAATCCAACTATAAATAATATCCATTCGAACACTAAAATAATTCAACTGTGGAAGATTCAAAGAATCTATGATAAATTGCTCAAACTAGTAAAAAAATTTTATGAACATTCTTTTATCCCTAATAAGAAGAGACAAAATCAACACTATCCGGTCCTTTTATTTAGAATAAGCAAAATTGATATCTTCATATTAGAAAACCATTAACCTATCAACTAATTTATGAGTGTTGACCTCATTTTGAGGTCTTCTTTTCCCTTCCCTAGATACCCTAGGATCTAGCCTTAGGATTTCCTATTTGACTCTCTTAGAGGACTAGACTGGGATCTACACCAGTTAGAAATTCGTGCTACTTCGCTTTTTGAAGTTCTGTATGGGCGGTTTCAGATCCCCAACATTAGATTGAGTCGATTGAAAAGCCGGCATACCGAAGCTCAAATTAAACTCCTATATAAATTCAAAAAACATATGTGGACATCATGACGTGTGTGACGTTTGACTTGCCACCGCGAGCGATGTGTTTGACTTTGGTCGTCACTTATGCGAGGACCGGACAACATTTTTATTTTTATTCATTGAACGGCTCCGATCGGACCAAAATAATTTTGTTTGTCGCAACGCGCACGAACTGAGGTTAATTTGGCGCGATCGTCGACGAATTTGTCCGGATGATGAAACGAATCATGCCGTCTCGTCCGGAACATCGATTTTAGTTAGGAAGGATACTCATTTTGTTGGGGCGCCATGCTTGCACAAAATTTGATAGCTTGGTTTAATAAAAAAAATATATTAAAATATTTTTTTCATAAAAAGGTTTTAAAATCCCTAAACTCTAATCTCTCCCTCATGTGTGCCTCCTCTTCTCTTCGGAAAAAAATTGCGTACATCAAGGGGTGAGGGGGTCAAGGGGTACGCAGAGATGCGTACATAATAGGGTACACGGGGTTTATACGGGGATTACAAGCGTACATAATAGTGTACACGGGAGTACCTCCCGTGTAACTCCTGTGTAACCTCCCGTGTGACTCCCGTGTAACCCCGCTGTAACATTGTAATCTTCCGTGTAACTCCCGTGTAATCCCGTTGTAATCTTGCGGGTTACGCGCGGGTTACAACTGAGTTACACGAAAGTTATAACACGCTTGTAACCCCCATATAACGCTCGTGTACCCTATTATGTACGCATCTCTGTGTACCCCTTGTCGTACGCAAATTTTTTTCCTTCTCTTCGGACCAAAACATGCCCTAACTCCCTTTGCTCCTCTCGACCGAGTTAGGAGGCCCCATTTCCGGTTCCTCCGGTCACCTTATTCCTCTCCGGTTGCCGCTTACCTTCTTCTCCGGTCATAACTGTCAGTCACTTTCTTCTTGTAACGGCTTTTCCCACGCAACGAATTTGGTAACCCTCTCGTTCTTGGGTTTGTGCATTTCCCTTGCCGTGAGCCCCTTGCCCTCTTGATGGCTATAAATACCCGCATGAGGGAGGAATAGGCTTGCGTCTTTT